ATGACTTACGCAAAGTGATGTTTGTAGTCAAAGGCCCATTCTCTTTGGGGGACACTAATTAGTCTGTATACGCCAGCATCAGATCACAAGAACAGATCATTTAAATGACACTCATTTCCTTTCTTGAATTGCGTTCTAATGGGTAAGGGGGTTGTCACAAACACAGAAAGAACCCACTCCAGGTAAATCATGACAAACCTCCTGTGATGTCGTCACACAGGGAGGGAGGAGGAGGTGTTTGGGTGGAATGAGAGTAATTAGGTGAACTGGGAACTGATTAGACCCACAAGGGGAGGATTAAGTTGGTTGTCATTAACTTGCCGTGAGGTCTGTGGGAATTTTCCATAGGACTCTATTTTCAGGTCTGTCCAATTCAACAGTTGTGTCAATTACCTGGGAGATGTCGAGGGGCTTGCTTACTAAATCTGCAGACAACACAAGGAAGATCAGCGATTCACTGGGTGACAGAATCAAGTTCCAAAAATGTCTATTTTCCAGAATGATGGGTTGACATTTATTAAGGAGAAGAATAACATCCTATATTTAATTAGGGAAAAGGCCCGGATGAGAGCTGCTTAAGAGGGACCAACTGCCAGAGCAAGGAGGAGTCTTAGGTTTTAATTGACCACAGGCGTGATGTAACTACTGAGCAACTCAACACAGTCCCCTGTGTATGGGGTGGAGATGAAAGACAGACAGAAGACTGATAAACGTCCTATATGTGCCTATTTTGAGAACTGTGCTTGAATTTGGAAACTATGTCTTGAAGATAGTGACAAATGGCTGTTTAATGGGTGAGAAGTGACAGGGAAAAAGCAGGGAACCATGTAAATGAAAAGAAAATGAGGTGGTCCTTCTATAAATCAGAAGGGGATCATGACTACAATTTATTATTGAGCAGTAGCTGTGGGTATTAATTCCTTAATACTCAGGACAATGCAACATATTATTTATCATGATGATGATCATGGACACAAAACATGGAGACTCTCTTAGTTCAAATTGAGATAGGTGGTCTGACCTGAGAGCTTATAGTACATTACTTCTCTGCATGTCTATCAACACGTATGGCAAGAAGTCAGGTTTATTCTGTGGAATACACTTATCAATAGATGGCACTCAGAGTCTCGTTGCCAAGCAAAGACATATTCTGTATGCTAAAGGCTGACTTGGCTTCTATTTTTGGTACAAGGTTAGACTGGATGTGATGTGAGGCATTATCTAACTGAAAGATTCTAATTTCTTGAGATATGATTTAATGTTACTCAAATACATTATGAATAGAAAATAAGAGCCTTGAAAAGAAGAAAGTAAATTAATTAATTTTCAGTTTAAATGGTGACAATGTCAGTAGACAGAGTGTCCAACCTCAGAACCCAATTTAGTAAGTGTCTTTGGTAACCTTTCTTTTAAGGTCATCAAAAGTTTGCCCATTATATGAACCGTGTTTCTCCCTTTTCTACACTATCTAGAATAGGATCAATATTAGCTCCTGTACAAACTGGAAGAAGGAGGTTGCACAGTAGGAATTAAATATGCCTTTATAAAGTCCTTATGCTTGGAGACTTCTACATTTCTTAATATGTTAAATGATTTGTGCATGCTAGGGGAATTAGGTCTCTTTCAGACACAAGCTGAGATGCCTAGAGCACCTTTTTTTTCTACTTTAATTATATCATTTAAAAAACAAAGATAATGCTATGGCCTTCACAAAAGTTTTATAGTAAATCTAACAATGGAAGTAAATGTTTCTACCCCAGCTAAGACTCCTAGCAGTCCCTGAACTGGCCATATCCTGTGACTAGATTGGTGGCTAGCCCAACTGTCACCAGAGACCCCTCCTATAGCAACTTATGGGAGAAGAAGCAGACCCACAGCCAAACATTAGGCAGAGTTCAGGGATCCTGCAGAAGAGGGGGAGAAAGGATTGTAGGAGCCAGAGGGGTCAATGGCACAAGAAAACCCACAAAATCCACTCACCTGGGCTCACAGAGACTGAACTGACAACCAGGGAGCCTGCGTGGGACTGACCGGGGCCCTCTGCACATATGTGACAGCTGTGTAGCTTGGTCCTCTTGTGGGACTCCTAACAGTGGGAACAGGGGCTGTCTCCGACTCTTTTGCTGGCTTTTGAAACCATATTCCTTATACTGGGTCGCCTTGCCCAGCCTTAATACATGAAGAGGTGCTTAGTCTTACTGAAACTTGATATGTTTTGTGTTTTGTTGATACTCAAGGGAGACCTCCCCTTTCCCAAACAAAAGGATGAGTGGTGGGGAGGAGAGGTAGAGAGAGAGGGACTGGGAGGAGAGGCGGGGAAACTTCAGTCACTGAAAACCAACAGCACACACTGTGAGGATGTGGATGTCACAGTCACTGTTCTATTGCTGTGAAGAGACACCGTGACCAGGGCAACTCTTATACAAGAAAGCATTGAACTGGGGACTTGCTTAAGATTTCAGATGTTTAGGCCATTGTTTTAATGAGGGTTTCTATGTACATTTCTTTTATTGGTTGATGAACAAAACCCCGTTTGGCCAATAGCCAGTAGTGTCAGGAAGATAGGTGGGGTTAGGAGATGAGGAGGATGCTGGGGAATGAGGCAGAGAGGCACCATGTAGCTACCAAAGCAGTAACAGGTCTGGGCATCCTCCGGTAAGCCAAGACCACGTGGAAATGCATAGATGTATAGAAATGGGTTAATAATGAAGACAGAACCAGCCAATAAGCCTTAGCCATCAGCCAACGGTTTTCTAACTAATATAGTGTCCATGTGTTTATTTGAGGATAAACAGTGGTGGGACCTGGCTGGAAGAAACTCCAGTTATATTGCAGATTTTGCAGACCCTGGTTCCTGGGAGGTATTTTTGCTTCTGAACTTCTTCAGAGGGTGGAGAGTCTCTGTTTTTCATGGTGGGAGACTCATCTCCAGCATACTGATGCATGCTAATAGATGAACTCTTGGTGGGGGGACAGGTGTTACAGTTCGTGTGAACAAAATGACTCAGAATGGGACTGACTAACCAAAAGCATAAATCACAGGCCCAGAGCCAAGTTATAGATGTCCAAATTTGGGGGAAGGGAAGGAGGAGGGAAACTGTATTCAACAAGTGTCAGTGATTGAGCCAACCTTGCCTGCCTAACAGAGCCTCCGTAAAAATGGTAAGAACTTGGTATAGTAGGCTTTTGGGCTGGAAGAATTCTTCATTTTATTATACCCTGATGGGTTGGGCAGGTACTGAGTCCTTTCGAATGGAACATCCTCAGTTGTGGGGCCACCATAGGCTTGCATTTTGTGCTTCTCCTTATGGTACATTTGAATTTGTCTTCTTTTATAATGAAGCAATAATTTAAAAGGCTGGCGGTGCGTGCCCATGAGAGAGCTTTGTGGCTAAAGGCAGTAAGTCCATGACTCAAGTTTGATTTTCAGAATCCACATGGTAGAGAGAAACCTGATTCCTGCAGGTGTCCCTCTCACAGTAGGTAACACATATACAATGGCATACAACATCATCCTCATACATATGCACACATACCAAATAAATGCAAAAGAAAACTTAAAATACTGGGCAAACAATGTAGTAGTTGGCAGAGGGCTTGCTTGGTGGACAGGAAGTCCTGGGTTCAATCCCTACCGTTGCCTACTTTGGGTGTGGTGGTGCATGTTTGTAATCCCGGCACACAGGAGGCTGAGGCAGACCTCCTAGCAAAAGGCAACATTAGTACAGCTGTACCTGCACTATCATCAGCTTCTGTGGAATTCATCACTCTGTTGAGGCAGTCTTTGGGGATGCTACTCCATTAGGCTCAGTTATGCTGGCTTATGGAGACAGTTTTTCTCACTGCCTTCCTATGCCCTACCCTTTGTTGGACTCAGTGGACTTGGCTTTAGTGATAGCTTTTGTTTACCTTTCTGAGATTGGTAAGATTTGTCCTTGTCACCCAGTCAATTGAAATGAGCAGATTTTTACCAAACCTGTTATATTAACTATTCTTGATGTTAGTGCTTCCCCGAATCACTGGGAATCTTCTAAGGATTTAGGGAGCGTCTATTTTGCCGGTCCAGGCACCCCAATACCCCATGCAGTGCCTGGAACATTGTTGATAGATATTTTTTGAACTTTGTGTTTTATTTGTTGCCCAGGGACTATTTTCTTCAGAGTCTGAAAGCAGGTAAACTGAATGTTTGTTTAAGAGAATACAAATCATCCTTTTCTTTACAATATTTTAAATGTACAACCACACATATTTTTGGAAGTAGAGAAAGGTAAGTTTATGGTATTTGCCTTAAAATCAGCAAAAGCCAATTAAGATAAAATTTAAGGTACAGTGAAATTTAAAACCAAGATTGTTTGATTTAAAAATACAGTCAAAGGCATGTCGCTATGGCCACTAATCATAACTTCCATGCCCCCTGTCTTTCCCACTCACAAGCCAACTTAGATTAGAATTTTAACATTTGCATCTCAGCCTTTTCTATTTCTTATTTCCCTGTCTAAAATTTCTACTGGGGAAAAACTTCTAGATCATTCATTAGCTATCTTAGGATTTCTCCTCAGCTCTACTGACAACATCTGGGGCCAATCGAGAGCAAAGTCCGCCATGGAGGACCCTGCAATCCTACGTGTGTGGAGTTGCTACCTCTTTTCCTCATTGTCTTCAATATCTACCAGCTGTTACTGAATACAGCCTCATCACAAGACCTAATTTGAATATGATGACCAGTTCACTTTAAAATGCACTTTCAAAAGACAGTCTACACTGTCTCATGGGAAGTGACATTCTGTAATTACCTCCTCCTATCAAAAGAAAAACAATTCCCAGAAATTAATGAATACAGCAAGAGTCTACTTCCTATCTTAATTCTATCTTAATTGCAAAAGTGGATCAATTAAAAAAAAAAAAGACTATGCTTGCAAAGGTCCTCTCTTACGGTTTTGCCTCTTAGCTCCACAGTCATCAGTTCAATGTATACCAGCATATGGTGAGTGAATTCTTACCTTTGGAGATGAGATAAACCAACTCCACCAGCAGTGCCCCTGAGAAACAGGCAAATCCATGGAACAGTGACAAAACATTCGTGGGCGTTCCTCTGAAGATGCTTGGAATGAATCTATGTATTACCGCAGAGACTGGGAGAACAAGAAGAGGCCAGAATCTAGGATTTCACCAACATCACTTTCATAGACCATGCCTTGACCAATGCGGATCATGCATCAAATTTACGAATGAGCAAAGTATGGTGGGTTAGACTTTGTTAAGGTTAGTGTTCAGGTAGGTTATGATGCAATTTACAGTCAATTGCAAGGAACAAAATACGACAGCATGAAGCCTCATATAGTTGCCAGAAGGATCTGATTGCCTGGCAGGTGAGTGCTGTGATGGCTTCACCAAATTTCACCCATATTTGAATATTTCTGATGCCTCTGTATCAAGGTTTGAGCTGTTCCGGATATGATTTCTGTGATGATTCCATGGTCTCTTGGGAATCGGTCACACCTGGCTGACTTGTAGAAAAATTCTGCACCTGTCCACACAGTGCCCCAACTATGTCATTATCATTAATTCATATGTGTGGCACAGGGGCCATAGCATGTGTATTGAGGTCAGAGGACAACTTGCTAGGGTCAGGTTTTTCCTTCCACCCCATAGCTCCCGAAGATTGAACTCAGGCCACCAGGCTTGATGACAGGTATGTCCATGTGTCAAGCCATCTCGCCAGCTCTTGCCCAGCGCTGTGGTGGTTTGAAAGAAAATGCCCCCCTCCACCAAAGGGAGTGGTACTACTAGGAGGTGTGGCTTTATTGAGTGGGTGTGGCCTTGTTGGAGGAAGTGTGTCACTGTGGAGGCGGGCTCTGAGGTCTCCTATGTATTCTAGTCACACACGGGGAGTGTCTCAGTTCACTTCCTTGCCTTTGTATCAAGAGGTAGAATCCTCCAGCACCATGTCTCCTTGTACACCACCACACTCCTAGCTGCCATGCTCCTCATCCTGATGACAATGGACTAAACATCTGAAACTGTAGGCCTCCACCTCAATTAAATGTTTGTCTTTATGAGTTGCTGTGGTCATGGTGTCTCTTCACATCAACAGAAACCCTAACTTTAAATGTTCTTACTTTAAATGAACTTACTAAAACACAATACAAATATATACACTCATTCTTTTTCCTGTAATTGTGCTACATTTCTGGTTTATTTTTCTGTGTGTCCTCTGCTTGTCTTTACTCAGGGGTGTCCCTGTCTACGTCTAGGGAAGCTGCTGAGAGCTGGGCCGAAGACAGGTAGAGGTGCCCTTCCTTCTCTGATTTCAGGCCCTGGAAGGGTTAACAGAGGAGTGCACGGTGGCTCCAGGCTCTCAATTGAATAAACACTGGCTGTGGATGACAACATCGAATGACACTGCAAAGAGAAGCATCTGGTATTGCTTGCCAGGCTCTTCAGTCCTTTTACACAGTAGAAATCACCAGCAGGACCCTGAGGTCAAGTTTCTGGTGCTTTCAGGAAGGTTCATGTGTGTGTAAGAGGCTCTGGGAAGGATTGATTCCGGTTGCAATGGATTTGGCTTATGAATCCTGCTCACTATAAATACACGGAGACAAATAATGGGCAGGAAGAATAAGTGGGCTGATTTCTTTCCCTGGGAAGAAGGGCAATGCACAAGACCATGATTACTCTACTACTCAATTATTAATCCCATGCTTTTCTCTTGCTGGAACTTCTGGTGCAGTGTATAATTCATGAATACACTTTGCCAGCTATCTACTTGCTGGTTAATCTTTCTTTGGTGTCATTTTAGTCATTTTTTTTTTGAAAGCCCCCAGTTCCCTTTTATAGGACTTAGCTTTTCAAGCCTTCAGATCTCCAAATCTCGGGTGCCTAATTGCGTGTTCTGATCTTGCTCAACTTTAGTGATCATCAACTTGTGCTGTTAGGTCTGGGATGCTTCTCGTAGCCCATTACAGTGCAGATATTATCAACAAGTCAGCCACTACTCTAAAGTAACCACTGTACTACGGAGACAGTAAAAGAAACTTCAAAGTTCCTGTGAAAACCTCATCTTCTTGCCGACGAGAGCTGAAAGCGTGTCTCCAGGGAGCAGCGGGCTGTGGTCTGTGAGGATGCCACTTGCAGCCTCTGCTGAGTCTATAGCATATGGAGGCACAGACAGCTTCCCGAGCCAACTGTGATGGGGATTTCACCGCTGGAATGCTTCCTTTCTTCCTTCCTTTCTTCCTTCCTTTCTTCCTTTCTTCCTTCCTTTCTTCCTTTCTTCCTTCCTTTCTTCCTTCCTTTCTTCCTTCCTTCCTTCCTTTCTTCCTTCCTTCCTTCCTTTCTTCCTTCCTTCCTTCCTTTCTTTCTTTCTTCCTTCCTTCCTTTCTTTCTTCCTCTCTTCCATCCTTCCTTCCTTCCTTTCTTTCTTCCTTCCTTTCTTTCTTCCTTCCTTCCTTTCTTCCTTCCTTCCATCCATCCATCCTTCCTTCTTTCCTTCCTTCCTTTCTTTCTTTCTTGTTTTTCTTCAGCTGTTCTTGAACAGTTGAAAATGTATTTCTTATGTTGGGTGAGAGGCAGTTTTAAACATATGAAGTAGTCCAATCCCAGAAATGGAACTGACACCATCGGAGCCGTAGAGCACAGTTCCGTCCTTATTGCTGAAGGCTTCAGCCTGGAATCTCGTGATTATCACATTACCCTCTACTTCTCTTGCAAGCTGTCACATGCCATCATCCTCGTAAAACTGAGGGATTCTTTTCCCCGTCTTCAGTTTCACTTAGGTGAACTCTGAGCACCTTTACTATCATACAGCCCATCCTTCTATTCATCCAAATCTTGGTTTCTCTGTCCGGTTACCTCTGATGTCTTCAATGATATCTTACTTTTCAATCCTTTTACACTGTAGTCACCGCATCTTGAACCCATCTAGCGGTAGGACAGCTGTGGCAGGAAAGTGACCAGGGCAGCACCTATGTGCACAAGGTTGTACTCAAGCATGACTATATCCTCTATTATGCACTGTCTATAGCTTGGTTTGTACCACAATGCCATGGCTGAACAACTGAAATAGAGACCAAACTATAAAATCTATCTATTAAAGTGACCTTGGTCTGACCTAGTGGGTGCCTCTGTGCTGTAGTCGCCTCTACAGACCCCTCCTACCTTCTGCCTTTCCTACTTTCTCTCTACTGTAAGTAGAGCTGTAAGTTCCCCAATGACAAAGTTTTGATAGATTTTCATCTTGACTTTTTTTTCTTGTGTTTTTGTGATTGGTGGTTTAAGTCTAAAGCTTCCAGGCCTGTGAATAGCTGCAGAAGATACAGCTACAATTAAGCCTGGTTTGAAAGTTTTCTCTTCTCCACTGGGATTGGTAGCATATCTCCAGTATATCATATGTCATTGTAGGCCAGAGGACCAAACTGGGTATCTCTGGAATGAGCCACTATGCCTCCTTGTCCACTGTCATCAACACAGGACATAAAAATAGTTGGTTTCCCTCATGTATGTATGTATGTATGTATGTATGTATGTATGTATTTATTTATCTACTTAATTGAAAATACACTGTTTAAAACAGCTTGTGTATACACACCTTTCTGGAAGGCTGAATTCACAGGACTATGAGGACAAACTACAGGGACAAAAAGCTCTTGCCTGAGGGAACATGTATTCTTCTGCTAAGAGAAAGCAATTCAAGATTTTTGTGTTACTAAAAAAAAAAAAAAAAAAAAAAAAAATGAAGTGTGTATGTATGAGGCGGGCAGTGGCAGGGTAAGGGAGGTTATTATAGAGACATGATGGGAAGTAACAGATAAGAGTAATAAGAATGGTTTCTCTGAGTGGATGACTTTTGAGAAAACTCAATGACAAGAAACTATCATTTCAGAACAGGAAAAGATATTGTGAACACAGAGTCAATGCACAGGTCTCAGAAATGGGATCACACTGGCTGATCTAGAAACATATAGATGTGTAGTCAGTATTGAAGGGTCAGGATGTTATAACATGTAGTGGGAACATTACACAGATGCCAAGTCATGGCAAGACACATGTTTACCTCTGTGTCTATTGGTAAATGGTACTCCCAGGAGGCTGGAAAAACTACCATAGCTGTCTTCAGGAGAATGGACTTGGTACTGGAGAGAAGGTGCAGTGGTTAAGGACACTGGCTGCTCTTTCAGAGGACCTGGGTAGAGTTCTAGTACCCACATGGCAGCTCACAAGAGTCTGTAAGCCCAAGGAGATCTGATTCTCATGCCCTCTTCTGGTTTCTGGGGATACTAGGCACACATTATGATGCCCAGATATACATGAAGGCAGAAAATCACACAAATAAAAGAAAATGAAAATAATTAAAAAAAAAAAAACAAAACTAAAAGGACCAATGTGGCAGGAGGAGGGGGTATGCATTCAGAGGCTCTTGAAACAGGAGTGGCCAGAGCTAGGGTCATATTTCCAAACAGACTAATTCTTGCCGTTGGGTTGTAGGCGACATGTAAGGAAGGAATAGAGAGGGATGTGGGTGGCTCATGGGAGAAAGGCTTATGCTCATAGCATTAGGTGTTTAACTTGTTTGTGACAGAAGAAGCTGTGCTGAGTTCTGGGTATGGCACTACTAATTTCACTAAAACAGCAGTGAGGGAAATAAACTCACATGCCGTTGATGCTGATTGCAAAGCGCTGTCCATGTATGAAACACTCAGCATCTTGCTTTGCATAACATTCTTCCCTAGGTTCTTGGGACAACATCTCTAGAAGACAAGAGAAGCCCAGGGCTGCCTGGCATGGGTAGTCAGGGGCAGGGCAGAGTCTGAACTCAGGACAGTCCAGGTTTAAGATAAGAAAGCTGAATGATGGCCTTGCTCCAGGCCTCCCTGACATTACTTCATTTCATAGATCAACATAGCCATTTGCACTTGATACCAGGTTTCCAAAGAATGGCCTCCTATTCCCATTCTCCCTAATGCTATGATGCCAGGAATAATACCATTTTTCACATTTCTAAGATTAGAAAGTTGAAGCTCAGAGATTAAATGAGTCCCCAAAGACCCTCACGTAGCAGGTGGAAGGCTGTGGTCTTTGGCCCACAGACCCTTACAGTAGATAAAAGCTTTAGTTAAATTTAGGTATTCTAAAGTGTTAGGTTAGTGCTTACATTACACTATCCATCAATCCATCTTTTTGTTTGTTTGTTTGTTTTTTTAATGATCTCTTTGGCTTCTCAGTGTTGGATCGCCTTACTGATCAGGCTAGGAATTTCCCCCATGTAAATCATTCTTCTTCAGGAAGCCCAGAGAATTTGACCTATTTTCCAGAACTTCCTACAAATAACATTGGGCTGATGACAAATGCCTGTGTGGCACTATTTGTTCACACTTCTCATTTATTCTGTGCTATGCTACACAATGGCCTTCCCATTACAGAATCTAATAACTGATTCTTATGGGACCTGTGAATTAGATGTTTTAACAGACTGAGAGAAAATGTGAATATGTTTGTGACTATGATTGGACAAATTTCTTTGACTTATTTCAACTTCTTAAGATAATTGCTATGGTTTTGTATATGTGCACATTGTGTGTGTGAACATAAATTTATTAAATATATACACAGAGAAGTTTGAAGTAACTGAGACTATAATATTTTAGATACAAATTAAATGATTAGAATTTTCATTTAGGATGATTATGTAAAGGTTGTGGAAAACGGGAGACACTAGCTATATGAAGACAGTTAAAGGGACTGGAGAGATGGCTCAATGGTTAAGAACACTAGCTGTTTTCCTAGAAGACCCGGGTTTGATTTCCATACCCACATAGTGGCTCCCATGGCTATTTATAACTCTGGTTCTAGAGGATCAGACACTCTCTCCTGGCACCCAAAGGTACTGCATGCACAGTACATACGGTAAAACATTCATACTTGGAAAATAGCAATAAATCTATTTCTTTAGTTAATCATATAAAGTGTAATGTGGGTTGAGTTACATGTAGCTACCACATTTCAGGGAACCATGAGGAACATCAAATCCCGGGATATGCTTGCTAGGTTATTCTGATAAGTGTGTATACACACAAACACATACATGACAACATTGCAGGAAGGTCTCAAAATTTTGTGATAAAGTATAAAGTGGCTCATCTAATCAACATAAGCAAAAAACGATCCAGATAATCTACAAACTTTGGATATTTAATAAACATAGCTTGAACATGTCTAATGAAATTCTGGTGATTACACTTAATCTAGGGTAATTTAATTTGAAGACATCGAGTTATTAGGGAAATTGCATCAAATTTTCATCTAATTTGCATGTTTATATACTCTCAAAGTCCATGCACCGCTTTTGGAAGGTTGCGCATGTGTCTTTGAGTTAGAGGGAGGGCAGTGGGAGGGTGGAGGATGGGTTTCAACTCAGTGTGCGGCAGTTCATTGTCTTTCAGGTTGATTTCTGCCCATTTCTCTCTGACAAAATGGTCTTGGCTCTAATCAGGTTAGCTAGCACTTTTATCTATACCCTAATAAAATTAGTAGTTGGTTATAGATAGTGGAATGAAGAACATCGCGTTGTCGTTATAAACGCGGGTGAAAAGAAGACTTATTGGAAACATGGCTAAGAATGGAGGCTGGGCACTTTCCTCTCAAAACACAGGCTCACGGCATTACTCACCTGCTGGGTTTGCCAGGGCTTCAGACACTCCAAGCAAGACATACTGAGGAACCAGGGAGCCACAGGCCAGGGAGGAAACAGAGGAAGCTTTGCCTGAAGAAGCCTGCTCCGGGGTGAGTTTTCTGTGTATTTCTAGGAAGCCGGCTATTGCCACAGACAAGGCTGCACAGCCGTTTCCAGCAACTGCGGGAGAAACCAAAAGGAGACAAGAGCAGGGAAGCATGCTTGGGGGATGCCTCTGGAACATCTTCCCATACCCAGAAAGCGCGACCCCTAGGGTGCAGCCACCCCATGCTTAGGCTCCAAAGGGCTGCTTTTACTCCATTTTGCTTGGTTCGCTCCTTACTGGGCCTTGTGCTCATTGCTTAAGCTTACTGTCACTCTCTTGACTCTAAGTCCCGGGAATGGGAACAAAGCTAACTTTAAAGGGAAGTTGTCAGATTTTAATAGAATAGTGTCCTGTTAGCATCATAAAGTCTCCCGGCCACAAACAGTGATGATTATGGAAGATACTGCAATAGATTTTTTTTTTTTTTATCTTTCACTCCCCACAGGCACATCTTTGTTAAAGGTACCCCCCCCCCCCCCGCGTTTTGTTTTGTTTGAAACAAGGTCTCACACTGTGGCACAGGTGGGCATCAAATTTGTTGAAGTTCGTGCCTCAGTCTCCCAAAAGCTGTACTATAGATGTAATTGAATAAGACAGTGTTTTGGGAAACTTTTTAAGGCAAAATTACCTCTTTATATAATTTAAATTATAGTTTTTAAGTGGTTTGGAGATAGTTATTTTATCATCTTTATGATTTTTCTATATGGTATTTCTGACCTTTGCAGCTAATAGAGAATTGAAGACTAGAAACCTTTAATAAAAAAAGGCAAGGAAGGGGTGGGAGACGGCTTAGCATTTGTTGCAAAAGCAAAGGACCGGTGTTTGAGTCCCCAGGAGACTATGTGAATCAAGGGTGAGCGGAACTCCTTAGTGTAAGAGTTTAAGGTCAGAAGAAACTGAAAAGGGGCTGAAGAGAACTTTTAAGTGATGCTCCCAATGACGGTTATATTTGGAGTGAGAAAGAAGTGTCAAACTATGGAAAGCACAGAAAACCGCAGGGTTGAAGGAAAGGAGGTGTCAGGAAGGACAAAAACAGACGCCCAGCCCAGCCACTTGGAAGCATCAGCAGGAGCTTTGACTTGGAGGCCCCGGTGTTTCAGACGCTAGTGACAAGGATGAAGAGAAGTTGGAGAATCAGTTGAAATTTTGTCTACTGAGCTATAAGATTCTCAAACCCATACTTCTCCCGCAAAGGAGATAACTCTCCACGTTTATATAAGGTGACCTTGGACCTGGGAAGGAGCATGAGAGGGAAACGTAGGATTCTGGACTCCCATTCATATCTGACTCTTGGCACTAGGGGTATTCTGAAAGCAAGGCATAGAAAGAGTTTTCTCTAGACAGTGGAATACCCCCATTACTCTCCATCTCTTGTCTTTTATTAGGGGGGATTCCCACAATGATATGAGATTTGATAAGTCTCATCTGTGTACAGACACACTATCCACGGTGTTCTTATACTTTACTTCTTTCAGTCCTCATTTTCAGTTATTGTCTAGATAAATGGGCAGGTGGAGGTAACCAGAAGTTTGAGAAGAGCAGCCAGCATACAAAAGAAGAAGTAGAGATACTCTGCAGTTAATACCCTTGGAGATATGGGAGAAGTTATGGTATCCACAGTAAAGGAATGTGTTTCCATGAAAGAGGAATCATATATGAAAGCTAATGGTCAAAATGTGGTGTACTCTTTGAAGGATTAAGTCAATGACATTTCCAAAAGATTAGATCAAAAATCAGAAAGAAAAAGAATTTAATCAAGAAAACCCAACCAACCAACCAACCAACAAACCAACCACTCACCAAACAAATAACCGACTAACCAATAACAAACCAACCAACTAACTAACCAACCAATTTCCTAGTGAGCCAGCCAACTATAATTAATCAACTGACCAATCAACCAAACAAACATCTCAAGATTACAGATATTTGAAGAGAAAAATTTGAGGCATTAACTGAATTGTGTTTTGAAAGTTCAACATCTGGCCAAAAGGAACTCAAAATGAAATATAAGGAAAATGGAAGGAATTATATGTATTTTTTAAAAAAATGTTTTTAAATAACAACAGCCAGACATTATTCAGAGAGTGAGACACTTTGGAATAATTAGCCCTAAACAGAATGTCTCCATCAAGCTGTCCCCTCATGGATCAGGGAACCCTGTGGAAGAGAAGGCAGAAAGGATGTATGACCCAGAGGGGTTGGAGGATACCAAGGAAACAAGGCCCTCTGAATCAACATGATCAAGGTTCATACAAACTCACAGAGGCTGAGGCAGCATGCACAGGGCCTGCACAGTTCTGCACCTGGTCCTCTTCGTATATATTAGAGCTTTCAGTGCAGTGTTTTAGGGATTCTTAAGTATGAATGAGTGGGTGGATCTTTGATTTTTCAAGACAGGGTTTCCCTGTGTAGCTTTGGAGGCTGTCCTGGAACTCGCTCTGTATACCAGACTGGCTTCGAACTCACAGAGATCTGCCTAACTTTGCCTCCTGAATGCTGAGGTTAAAGGCGTGCGCCACCAATGCCCGGCCTGATTCTTGAGTCTTTTCTTGGGCTCTTTTCCTTCTGTTTGTTTGTCCTGTCCAATTCTGGTGTGATGGTTTTTGTTTTTTCTATCATACTCTTGCAGTCCAAACATCTCACTACTCTCCCACTGGGGATTAAATTTCAATGTGACTTCCAGAGAAAATGAAATCATTTAAAATACAGCATGCATGACTTAGATGATCTGGGACAGAGTTTATTGTATATAGAGGATCTAAATGCCTGTTTTGCCACTGCAACCTTAGGCCAGTGAAATTGGTTCCAATCTAAATCTCATCTATTCCATTAAAATTTTTTGCTGAGGTGAAATCACAGCATACCCAAAGCAGACTGTCATTGATCAGAATGCACAATGGTTCCAGAGGAGATATCAAATAATCTATGCTTTAATATTGGCTGTGCGACTGCAGACAAGCCTGTAAGAGCCTTGGAACTCTCATAATTTATATTATTATCCCACCATGTAATACTTTTCAAAAATTAAAGTGCAATGAAATAAGAGAAAGTTGGAGTTCATTCCATAATCAACCCTTCATTTACTGTTACATACTGAAGGAAAAAAATATAATAATAAGTAACGGACATACCAAGGTTTTTAGGGCATTGGCAAAGCTTAACCATTAGGAAGACTATAGAGTTTACATGGGCAGTCTTGTATATGGAATCTAGTGTGTCAGTGTGCCACCATAGCTATGAAATTCTACTGAGATTTTAGGACCTTCTTCTTGGATCCTTCATTTAGCAGCTTTCCCAGAACAGAAAATGAACTCAGTGACTTCATTATCATGTGTTTGCTGCCTTTGGGGAAGGTGCTTCCCACTATGGAGATAGAGAGTTTAGTTTTGTTAGGTTAGAGAAACAGCTGAGCATTTAACAGAGCTCGCTGATCTGGTAGATGGTTAGGTTTGATTCCCAGCACCAACATGGCAGCTTACAACTGCCTGTCCCAGGGGATCTGATATTCCCTTCTGGCCTCAATGGGCGCTGCATGCAGGTGGTACAGGGACACACATGCACGCAAATAAAATACTCATGCACATAACATAAAAATAAAGTCTCAAAAATGCCCTGTGTTTAAAAATACTTTGTTTTGCTCTTGGTTGTATTCTTCAGTGTTTGGATGAAGCTACCCTCCATCTCTGTATTGTTTCTCTCTGAACCACTGATCTCATTTCAGGAGGCAGGATTCAGTCTGTCTTCATTTTTGAATGTGGAACAGATCATTGGTTTGACAGGACCAGACCCAAGCATTTGTCTCTATGAGGCACCAAATGCTGCTTCAGACAGTCCACTAGGTCTGTCTACTTCACTCCAAACTTAGTTTCAATTTTATGCTAACTTTGAGGTCTGAGGGTATCGATGTACCTCTGTTAAACAATTGAACAACTAAGAAGAAAGCTTAATTGCAGGTGATATCTGTAAAAGTGACTCCTGTACCTGTTCACATAGTTCTTTGCATTAAATATTCTGCAATGGGCATAGAGTATGTCTCTGGGACAAACTCATCAGTTTGAAAACCTCACAGAAGACAGGGATTCTTACCAGGCCTAGCGTCACATGCCTGGAATCATGTGATGGTGTGTGTGTGTGTGTGTGTGTGTGTGTGTGTGTGTGTGTGTGTGTGTGTGTGTGGTGGGGGGGATGCTGTCAGTTTCAAGTTCAGTATGGTCCAGGACAATTAACAACATGAGGCGATTTAACAACAGGAGAGAGAAGAGAAAAAAAATGAGCAAACCCTACTTTAGTTAACCGGACTGGGCCCCGGGACTTTGATTTTAGGCTAACCATCACTTCCTTTCCAACCCAAATGGGAACTTCATATAACAGCCAATGACGTGGAGTGGCAGAAGGTACTGGTTATGCATACATGGGTCTAAACATTGCTTGAACTGTATTACAACAGGCTTTCTGTTACAATCAGAATTTTCAGGCTATTTTAAAGTAGATCTCACAGGTATTTGAGTATATTTTGTCTGCATTTCAACTTAAATGCTACTTCAAAGCCAAGAGGAATTATATTCTCAGTCTTTGTGTGGCACTTATTAGTAGCCTTAATTGGGCTCATCTTAATCAGATAAATACTGGCCTGTGTCAGCACTTGCTACTGAATGCTACAGGTTACATGATTGTAATCAATGCTAAGGAAAGAAATACTCCTGGTGTAAACAATTTTTCTATGAAAGTCTGAAACAAAGTATGGCAAGTTACGACGGGATAAATCATAGTGACATTACCAACTTTAGAATTTTGGTAAATTAGGGTGGGCCTTTTATTAGGGAGTATAATCTAGATAAGTAGGGTCAGACTTTGTATGGCATAGTTCTGGGAGGCGTAGAGGTTTGTTTTTCTTTTTTGATGGTCTCTTATGTGTCCCAGACTGGCCCCAAGCTCACTCTGTAGCTGAGGATGACCTTGGACTCCTTATCTTGCTAGGGTGGCAGGCAGGCATCAACACGCCTGGCTTATGATGTGCTTAGGACCAAAGCAAGGGCCTTGTGCCTGCCAGACAAGCGCTCTTCCAACTGAACCATCTCCCCAGCCTCTAGAGAGGTTTTGAATGACTGATGCATTTCATGGTTTCATTTGGTGATGGGCGCCGCAGTTTATATCGTGGATTAGAGATCCTTTTCATTGTGCTGTTTACGAGCTAAGCAAATGAAATGATTTGGCTCACTCAGTGAAACTTCCCTCTCTCTCTCTCTCTCTCTCTCTCTCTCTCTCTCACTCTCTCTCTCTCTCTCTCTCTCTCTCTCTCTCTCTCTCTTTCTCTCTCGTCTGGGCTGTGATTCTGGCCCTCAGGCACTGACTTTGTCTTCACCGCCCACTTCACTTGAATATGACAGTTCCTGAAGGGAGAGCAACCAAGTACTTACTGTAAGGAGTGGGGCAATGTGAGACTTGGCTGCTCACTATAGCAACAAGAGAAGCTGTCGGATAATGTCCATGTCAACGCTCCAACATCTAGAATCTTACTAGGAACAAATCTCTGGGCACATCTGTGAGAGACGTTTCTGAGCCACCCTGTTAGTATTACGTGCAGCATTTGTACTGGCCTGCTTTTGGGGTTCTAACAGGATACGCACTCAGCTGCAGCCACTAAGAGCACCACCTGTGCACATCCACTACATTCCCTTTTAAAAGGGCCCTGCCCAGCTTCCATCTCTCTCTCTGCCTGCCTCCCTGCTCTCCCCCCATCTCTACCTCTCTTTTCTTATCTGCTGCTCCTGTCCCCAGAGGCAGGTCTCCCTTTCCCCCTCCCGCTTTTCCCATTCACTTTATCCCAGTTAAAAAAACATCCCTCCATCCAAGTCCTGTCATATGGTGTCTTTCTCTCAAGCCCCCTATTTTTAAATTGCAACACATCTTATTGTTTCATTATTTTTCCACTAAAAGCAACTCAATCAAAAGCAACTTTGTGTGGGGTGGAAGGTGCTGTCTGTCTGACACTGTCTGTCACAGTTTATCACTGTGAGTGAGAACAGGAACTTGAAGCAGAAACTCTGGGAAATGTTGCTTGCTGACTCACTCAAGGCTTCTGCTTGCTAGCTTCTTTACATAATTCAGGATCATCTGCCCAAGGATGCTTCTGTCCACAATGGACTAAGCCGTCCTACATCAATTAATAGTCAAGACAATCCCTTATAGAATGCCAGAAGGTAAATATGATCAGGCAATCCCTCAAGGGAGCCTTCTCCCCTAAGCTCTAGGCTGTGCCAAGGTGGTGGTTGAAGCTAACTAGGACACACTCTTAATGTGGGCAACACCAGTCCATAGGCTGGAGTCCCATGCTGAGTAAGAAGCTATCGTCATCTCCTCTCCCTGCCTCTTTGAACTACAGGGTGACCTGATGCCTCTTTTTCCTGTCACCATACTTTTCCCCATCATAGTGGACTGCATCCCCTGAAGGCACGAGCCAAAATAAGCTTTTTGTCCTACCAGGTATTTAGTTACACCTTCAAGGAAAGTAACCAGTGGAGGGACATTTCATTGTTTTCCATTGCTAATTGTAAATGCAGTAAAGATTTCAAATTAATGCTGCTAATTTAACCTGTACGATCTAATACCCACATATAGTTGAATAATGAAATAATACTAATAATTCTAATATAATAATAATATATTATTATATAATAATAACTAACAATAATAATAATGGTAAAATAGCCACAAAATTAAAAAGACACTATCATCATGAGCTTTGGCATTTAATTATGGTTTATCATACATCTAAAAAATAATATATACATGATGATGCCCATATTCAAACTATGAATTCATAAATGTATGTCCATTCATAATTTATATATCTATATGCTTCACTCATATTTTCAGGCATTTGAGTTCAAAGTAGAAAGAAATTTTATATCAGAGCCACTCAATTATGTAAATTGGTGTGAGAAAGTATCCTTGGTTTGGCTTTCATGTACTGGTGAAACTTGTTAATCTTCCATAATCATAACCAGAATATGGAAACCCTACCCAAATATCTAGTTTAAAAGATGCATGCTATCATACTTTTATATTCCCATAGCAAAACATTATGCAAATAAATGAACAACTATGCAAATGATGGAACAAGTATGCAAATGAACGAATGAATGCAGTCTGGCTTAGAAAGAACTGAATTCACTATTCCATACCCAGCGGAGCAGAGCTCCATTTCTTTTGAAGTGTGTCTAGCTTTCTTTTCTCCTGCCTAACAGGTCTTGTTACCTCTTTTTCAGGGGGATAATTTAGTTCATCAACAACATCAAATGATGTACTAGATAAATCTGCCACCTTTATTCATGAGAGCATACCTAGAAGAGTAGCCAGGGTTTCAAATACGTCATAGAGAAAGTTGATCAAATATAAACTGAACTTAAGGTGCTTTATTCTAAGGAGGATTTCTAATTAATCTCTTGTAGCTGTGTTGCTGGTCTGTTTCCTTAAAGTGGGCCAGATTTAAAATTTTCATGCATAAATTTGGTAGCTCCTCCTGTAAGTTTCTTGATACTTGTATAGGACTGCCAAGATTTTTGACATTTTTGTAACATCAATGGACCCTTGCTCTCCCTGTATGCTCCCTTATTCTGTTTCAATAGTGAGTTTACAGAGCCAAACATACAAAGTTCTATCTACTTTTACTTGTGTCTTCAAAGTTCAGAAGAGAATCCTGGTTCTTCTTAAAATAATACTGTTTTCTTGATTTTTCTGCATTGGCAGACATACAAAGCATGTTTAAAACTCAGAGATTGTAAAAAACAAATTAGGATTTGTGTTTTGCTAAATGCTATTACAATAGTGACAGGCCTACCTGGTGATCTCTGTGTGGATAACCATAGTCACTCTGATGACTTAAGTCATCTTGAATTCTAACTCAAAACAAGCATCCTCTGCTCTGATCGGCAGAATCATGCTCATGAATTTGAGGAGTACCAGAAAATACGCAGGAAGCTGTGACTCCTGTACAGAAAAATAGCAGGAAGTGTGTGTGGCTGGAAGACCACAGCCTTTGGTCCTTAAGAGCAGGTCAACCAGCTGGAAGAATAAACCTGCAGTCTTCCCTTGACTCCTGCAAAGGAATCATGTCTCAACTATCGACTACCATACCATGTTCATTTGTCCTGTGTGATATTTTCCAGAAGTTTCTTTGCGTGTGTGTGTGTGTGTGTGTGTGTGTGTGTGTGTGTGTGTGTGTGTGTGTGTCAAAGGACAAATGGTTTCTTCTGCAAATGATACCCCATTATCACTAATTCTTGTAATACTTCCACTGAGTTCTGGGTTGTGTTCTGGGCACCCATGGCATGCCCGGTGCTTTCAAGTCTCACATAGCAAAGTGATTCAAGATTTATGTAGGTTATGCCCCTCAAAGGAATGTCAGACAAGTAAAGTCCAGACTGTATAGGTTCAGTGGCAGAGAACACACTGCCTTCCCTGTCACACCTGCCTGTGGTTCCCTGACAACGCCTTACTGTGCATGGTTGGAAGGACATACCCATCAGAATGAACTCTGTGGCTTTTCCTCCATTAATCATATGGGTTTTATTTTATGGCTTAATGTGTGTGTCCTAAGGAAGCTATCTTAAATTGTTCCACTGCAAGAACCCTTTGAAAATCATTGCTATTCCCCTTACTAACTGAAGAGTTACTATACAGAGGCTATGAATCAGACACCTCATCTTTCCTCTTTAAGGGTTGGAGACAGGACTTGTAACTTTATTCACGGTAGGCGAGCACTTTAGAGCCGCATCTCCGTGTCCGCAGCACTAATTTTTAATAAATTTTGTTACTGGTCTAGAAATTAAAACTATTAATTTTTTGAAGATTCACTAAGCACCTTCTCTTTTTAAGAACACGTTAGGAGTGAGGACGGCCCTACCGAAGGAAGTCCACTCAGTGATGTTTGGAATTTCACTGTCTCTTAACATCGGCTGTGACTTCCCAGGAAGCATAAAAGGATGGATTGAAGATATCATGTCGATGCCTGGGTAAATATTCAGGGACCTGGAAGCTACCACTCATAAATTTATTTATTTATTTATTTATTTTGAAATTTGGGAAAGCTGGGTGCTAAGGACTCAGGTGTTATGCTGGCCTGACCCTGTCACCTGACAGAATGCACTCAGGCCGCGCCCTGGTCAGCCCAGGGTTACATGGTTGCACAGTCTACAGGCAGGTGCAAAGCACGAAAGATCACCCCCCATTCCCCTCAGCCGATTTATGTTCCCTTTCCCTCTCTCTTTCCCTGGGGCAGACAGGACTTTTCCCGTCTCCCTCTTCTCTCCTGTCCTCTGTGTCTCTGTGCCTCTTTTCTTTCCTTCCCTCTCCCTCCCCTTTCTAATACAACTTCTCACTAAGCTCTGTCTGCCTGGCATGTTTGTCCCCCGCCTCGGTCACCCTCGCCTGCCATGGAATGGCACAAGGTGCCCCCATGAGCTTTGCCATAACACTCAGGAACATGTAGCTAGTTTAACAGGGTCTTTTTTGTTTTTAGGTTGCACACAATTCTCTCCGAATCCCACGTTGTACTTACTAATGCATGCTGACAGGAATGGTCCATCTCTCTTAGAGGGAAGTAGGCGGTGGCTGAAGAAATCCATTAAGGGAACCAGAATTAATAATGGCAGGATGCTGAGGGCATTCATTAGTGCAATTGGCAGAGGAAATCCGCCCAAGGTCCGGTTGGAATTCATGGTCTGAAGATAATATCCCGAAGGGATCTGCATTCGAGGAAGAGACAAGTTAGGCAATGGCTTACCTTTGAAGGCAGGGCACTCTGTCAGATGCCTCCCACCTCGTGCATACTCTGCGGCAGGTGACACGGAGGTCCCATAGTTTTTCAAGACCCAGTAATGAGCTAACAGAAGATTTGTGACCCCAGAGGCTGTGTTCCGTTCAGTGGCATTGTTACTGATTCTGAAAACGCTGTTTTGTTATTTAGTTCACATTCATAACTTCGTCACTCAGGCAGCTGGTAAGGAATCAGGTCGTATACACCCTCCATACTCAAATTGACTTACGTTTTCATGAACATTAGAGCAAAAGCCATCAGAAAGGGTAAAGGGTGTGTGCTTTCGCCCTGATGAAAAAAGAGGAGGGACTAGAATAGAATTTCTAAATGGCATCTAGGTTGGCAACAAAATAGGATTTATTTATTTATTTATTTATTTATTTATTTATTTTTCAGTGAGGGGACAATGGGAGGAGACACATGGCTCACCATGGGCCGCCTCTATGGGCTTCCTAGAAGGGCTTCGTTTCTAGCCTCAGCCAAGCAGCAAGAAGGAAAACAAGACTAGCGTTTCTGAGCTTGTGGCTTCCATTTAATTGCTTTCATTTAACGGTTTGTTTTCTGTGTGTGGGCTCTTTTGCTTGTCTGCGTTCCATATATCTGCAGTATCGACGGAGGCCGGGGAGGGGGGGTTGGGGGGAAATCTCTGGCACTGGAACGCTGTGAGGTGTCACGTGGCTGCTAGAAGTTTAACCCTGGTCCTCTGCAAGAGAAACGACGGGGTTCTTTATGGCTGGTCCATGTTTCCTTAGGCCCTGTTACTCATTTTTAAAGTGTTTCTGTATTCCAGTTGTGGTTTTCACCCGGAATGTCCAGCCCAAAGGAGCATGTGCTTGGACACTTGGCCCCTTGAGCATGGTGCTGTTTGGGGAGGTTGGGAAACCCTTCCCTAACTGGAGAGAGTGCACAGCAAGGGGCGGGCTTTGAGATGTGATTGTCTGCTCTAAGATTTTGGACTGCTGTGCTGAGTTTTGGCACTCGCTGTGGCCAACTGCTTCGTGTCTTCTTTGTCGTGACTATTCACCCTTTCTTGAACTGGGAGCCAAAATGAGCCCTTCCTCCTTTGAGTAGTGTCAGGCGTTTTTCCACAGTGATAGGAAAGGTTCCATCCCCAGCACCCTTATGATGGCTTACGGCTGTCTGAAACTCCATTCTCGGGACACGACATCCTCTAACAGACATACAGGAGGCAAAACACAAATGCATATAAAATGAATAAAAAAAAAATCTATCAAAAAAGCAAGGAAAGAGAGAGAGAGGCTAACAGAAAGAAATCAAGAAAGCGAGAGAGAGAGAGAGAGAGAGAGAGAGAGAGAGAGAGAGAGAGAGAGAGAGAAACAGCAAAGCAAGCTGATGGGTACACTAGCTAACCTCGAGTGAGGCTGGGTACAACAGAACCCTATATTAACACGAGATGGCAGAATTTTTGAATTTCCTTTGTTCTCACCTCATAGTCTCAATTAACCACAAAACCTTCTTCATATTTAAGGAAACCACCATGCTACCTGGAGACCCCGTGCTGACTAAATCTGTACACTAGCTTCGAGTCTCTTCCCATATGCCAAGCTCTGAGGAGTGTGACATGCGGCACACGACATGAGCATGGCTCCTCGCTTTCTAAGTGCCATCAGCAGCACGGAAGATGTCTTTGCTTCCCAGCAGCACACAAAGCCACCGACAGGCAAACAGTAAAGGCCTGCATGCCTCTTCCTTGAGGGATGGCTTTTACAAAATGCCTTCCATACAGTACTAGAACCGAAGTGGGGAGTTCTGCCTTCCCTCCACCCCAGGACAGCCACTCTGTGCAAACCCCCACATCACAGCTTCTCGATGATTTCCTCACTGACCCCTTCTTCCTAGTCAGATGTACAAGTCGGGAGTTTGTGAGTAGTGACAACAGACTCAGGGCTTCGGCTAACAAACTGGCCGCCAGTAAAAGGCAACTCTTGCTGTGTCATCTGCCCAGACATAGGGCGGGACTACATGTTCGTATACCTTCTCCCTGTCTACATATAACACATCCTGGTGATAATTTATCTCCCAGTCTTTAATGTAATACTTGGGATAATAAACAGGGGTTGTTTGGTTGGGTCCAGATGGTGAAAGTGAAGGGTTAGTTAGCTATTTCTGCCTCTCTAAAATGAAGAGACACACACACACCCCAATCTGAGGAACATTAACGATGGATGTGCGGTTTAAAAAGAGCTGGCAGCTGAATAAGTTTAAGATGGAGCAGCTCCTAGCATCAGAGCAAGTTTCTGTTACTGATTTCGAATGAGAATTATTGTTAATAGGAATAAAGTTATTATCGGCATGAATCACGGACACTGAAACCTGTTAACTTAATAATGTTGCCAATGTGTCATTAATCTTTAGTAAGGCGATATTAATATATTGCCTAATCAAAAAAGGGCTGTGGTCTCTTGAAAGCTTGAAATCATTTCTGCTTCTGCCTCAAGTTCTGCAATCCTCCCCCTTTTAAAATTTTAAATACTTTTATTTCACACAGGCCTCTGAGTATTCAGAAGTAATTGCCGTCAGCAGAGATTCATTCTCACCTTTGAGTGGCCCTAATGTCAAATGGCAACCTTGTCAGCCTTAATATCAACATATTTTAAATATATGTCTTGGACCTGAAGGTCAATAATTGCTACTAAATTTAAAATATGGAATTCTGGGATGTTTTATTCTTGGTACTTTGATTGCCTTTGTGCTGGTGATTATTTAATCTGGAGGCAAAATCTAGTCTAAACCTGTCCTGATGGAAGTTCCAACCTGGAGAAGGATGCTCTAATGTTTTCTTTCAATTTCTAGCAAAACTTCACCTATAAAGTTTGAATCAAGACACTTTGTAAAGTGTCAGAGAGGTGTCCTGGGTGATAGCAATAGACTTTGACAATAGCCTGCCACATGCTGACAAGTTCAAGGTCACTTCATCATCGTTCTATCCACTGGAGCCTTAGACATTTATTTATTTAAAGACAAGGTCTCAGTGTACAGCTAGGTATCCAGGCTAGCCTTGAACTCACTATGTGTCCCAGGCTGGCATTGAACCCACAGCAATCCCCCTGCTTCAGCTTCCCTAATGCAGTGCAGTCATACACACAAGAGTCATTACACTAACTGCTAAGTCTGTGATGTGTGATAATCACAGTGGCTGTGCAGACTTCCTGTGAGGATGACCTGAGACATTCAGAAGCCAAACCAATGAGCTGGCTCAGCTGCTCAGGCACTTACCATTTGACTTTGACAATCTGAGGGTGACCTCAGGAACCTACAGGGCAGCGGGTGAGAACTAAGGTGAGGACTGACTCCTGCCCATTGTATTTGACCCCCTCCCCCAACCAGGTCACAGCAGGCATACCTCTCCCCTATCAAGTCAATGTAGATATTTGGAACCCATCTGTAAGAAGCTGTGGGTAACAATAAATAGTCAATAAATACTTGAATATTTTTCTTCAGTAAATTGGGCATTTATTTCCTTAACAGTTAGCTTACCAATTTTTTTTTTCTGTACTTACATTAGCCCACTCCTGTTCCTTTAAATGACATCTCACCCATGAAAAGATGGTTCAATGGTGTGTGTGTGTGTGTGTGTGTGTGTGAGAGAGAGAGAGAGAGAGAGAGAGAGAGAGAGAGAGAGAGAGAGAGAGAGAGGAGAGGGGACAGAGAGGAAAGTAGATGGGCACTAGATGGGAAGAGGAAAGGGACAGAGAAGTGTGGGAGGGGCAACAGCAGGCAATGTGGGCTGTGACGAAAACCAAATTTACCAACATGTGCTGTACTTACATCAAAACACAAGGTGTAGAACCTTTCGCAGAAAAGGTTCAAGCTGAGTGGAGAGACACACAAGTTGCTGCTTTACCATGAAGACATGGAGTTCGTAATTTGTGCTCTTGGCACAGAGGGTTTGGGAGTAGTTCAGTACTCATCATTTTCTCAGGTCTAGGTGCCTTTCTAGCAACGACCGTGTAAGTGCAGAAGGCTTCCGCTGTGTCTTTTTTGATGCCTGTTTCTAGTTGTACAACTAGCAGGACTCTCTCAATCTGCACAGCTCCAGTGTACTGTTTGGACCAGGGGTTAGCAAACCTTTCCGTAGGAGATGAGGTGATGAGGATGTCCACACGGGGACTCTTTGGTAGCTTTTCCCTTCTGCCGCCTTTGCTCATGAGCAGACACAGGTATATTTGTAGACAATTGCATATAAATTTAAGCACCACAAACTACTCTTTTGTTTTTTTCCCATTGATGTAAAATATTAAAGACACCATAACTTTCACTATATACAAAAATGAAAGAGAGAACCAAGAGTTGGCTATAAGGATAGAGGCGCTTGCCACAAAGACTTGGTGATCTGGGTTCAATCCCCAGAACCCACATAACAGTGGGCGAAGAAAACCAACTGCTGTTGTTCTCTGGCTCTATATGAACATGCAGCCATGTGTGCGTGACCTCCCACACGATGCACTTAGGCACACATAATAATGACAAATATTGTAAAAACAGATCACGGACTGAGTTTAGCTTGGAGACTATAGTTTTGAGTTTAGCTTGGAGACTATAGTTTGCTGGGTGTACTGTTTACTATTCTGTTGCTGGGACACAACTCCGCAACCAGAAGTTACTTTAGAAAGAGAGGGTTTATTTTTAACCCAGGGCTCTGGAGGAAGCACCTGTGGACAGTGGGGAAGAACCTGGAATGGTTGCAGGAAGTTGGCTGACCGTAGTTTTGTCTACACGCAGGAAACAGAGAAAGACGAGAAAACGAGTGGAGAGAGGCTGCGAACTCCCAGAATCCACTCCGGGTGATGCAATTCCTCCCGCAAGGCTTTGCGCCCTCAGACACTGCCACCCATTGGTGCGTGAGTTCTAACAGGTGGGCCTATGGCACCCTGGGTTTACAGGAGCAGGTGAGGGCTGTTCTGAGAGCCGATGTCTCTTCCGCTTTCTCCTTCACGGCTGTTAACAGGCTACCTCTCAGCACCAAACCACTTAACTTTCTCTGTGCAGATCTTTTCTTGAGCACATGGAGCTGGAGTCAGGCAAGCTGTTCCCCCCCCCCCCCATCTCCATCATTCTGCGATTGATGCATACAACTCGTGCATTTGCTTTCTAAGCTCTAAGCTGGGGTTGGGGTGGCCATCAAGAAAGGCCTGAGTTCGTTCAAAGACTTTTATAATCACCTCCTCCGATGGTGTTTGACCATAGTTACTTCGATTAAAGTCACATACATCTAGGAAAGGGCCTAGTGTTTTCTCTTTGATTTCCTCCTGGATTAAGGACTGATTGAATTGTCGTTTACCATTAGTGAGAATTAGTGAAGGCAGAAGGCAGTCAGTTGGTTAGGGGTGCTTTCTAAAGGTTTAATGGGGTGGGGGAATCTTTGGTTAAAGGGAGTTGAGGAATTGCCTCTGGGTCTCAAGATTCTAAACCTCAGAGCTGGGCACTCTATGAGTTACCACCTTTGGTCAGTGGTGAACAGTCCTAGGCGATGATCCCACCCAGGGGCTCCTGGGTGTTAGTTTGACCCTGCTGAGCTCTTAGAACCAGGGCGGCATTATTCTGAAGGTAGGACAAAGGCTCAGGATGTGTTTGAAAGTCCTGCGGGGGTGTTGTGGCTTGAATGGGGAAAGTATTCCCTAAAGACTCATGTGTTTGAACCCCTGATCTCCAGATCGTGGCACTGTTTGGGATGGTTGTGGAAACTTCAGGCGCTGGAGCATTGCTGGAGAAAGTGGGCCTTGGTAGAAGGCTTCTTGCTTTCCTAGAGGCCCCCCCCCCCCAATTCCATCTGTGGACTGTGACGGGCCTAATCCTGTCGGTCCTTCCACGATGCGGCAGACCCTACCTCCTCAAAATGAGCCCAAACAAACCCTTCCTTCCTTAAGCTGCTTTTGTCAGCTATTTTGTCGCAGCCACGAGAAAAGAGACCAATACAGGATGAAAATACCCGAGGTCGCATTGCTGTCGTTGGCGTGTGTCGGCCGTCCTCCCTACCTGCGCAAGGCACATTCTGTATGGGAGCTGGAAACCGAGGAGAGGCAAGAGGGTGGAGAAGACCAGTTCCGCATCTTCCTCCTGGAGTCCATCGTGTGTTTCCACGGCACGGGCTGACCAATTTGCTCCATCTCGCCCAAGGTGGCAGTATGGCAAGCAGCGTTTTTTCAGGGTCTTAAGCAACACACCAGCGACCATCAGGAAAGAGCAATCTGCAAAGCATTGGAGACAGCATGTATTACCCCAGAGTGGCCTATCAGCCTTCTCAGACCTGACACTCCCAGGGACAAGAGGTGGTCAAAGGGGGGTAGAAAGCTTCCACCCTGGAGGAGTTGGATTCAAAGGCGCTGCTGACCCGATAGCTTTGTGATGACCAGCCCAGGGTGCCTGACAGCCCGTGTAAAAAATGAAGAAAGGTAAGATCAAAGGACACATTAGAAAAGGAGTGACAAGATACAACGGCAGAGTAGAGAATTTCAGAGTCTCTGAGAAGTGTCTAACATCAGTCATTAATGAATAAGAGAACCCAGGCTTTCTTTTACATCCTTTACTCAGGAACTAGGGCTGTTCTGTAAAATATAAATAACCCTCATTTTCCTTGGCAGGTAGCGCTTGGTTCTTGTATTTTGACACAGAGATGAAGGAAAATGTATTCTTTTCTTTGACTTTACCCTTGAATTTCAGACGTAAAATTAAATGTTGTACTCTTTAAATGCCTTTATGAATGTTGACAATGTCACTAAAACACCAAGCTGTATTAGTTGACTTTTCCAGGATGTATTTCCCTCCGTGTTGGTATGGAGGATGCCTTAGCATCAGAAATGTCACATAGCATAAGATGTCGCAGTTGCCTAGTCCCTGTTATCTGCATGCAACTCACTTTTGCTTCTTTTATGATGTTTAGATTGAATATTTTCTTTGTTTCTCTTAGGAATGCCTGCTACCATGACAAGGAAAATACCAATATTGTTTAGGCTAGCTGTGTCATCTTGATTGTGACTTTTTTTTTTCATAATACTCGCCAGACAAATCCTTCCACAAATTATAGACACCAAATTTTGGTTACAGGAAGAATAGGACAATACACACGAAAACATCTGGGTTTCTCTTAGCAAGTCAGCCAGAGGCACTCAAAATACAATTCGAGTGTCATTTTATTGTGTTCAACTTTCCCATAAGAGAATCCTATTAAGGAAGGATTCTAACCAGATACATTTAGGTGCCACAAAGTATTGGCTCTTATATTTAAATAAGGAATATCTATCAACATCTCTTTTTATGGCTATAATGTTGGCTATATTGATTCCTTCTGATCTTTTCCGTAACTCTTGTAATAGACTGATTATGTCAGCCTTTGGTTAATTGAGGAGCTGGGGGCCTGGTAATTGAATATGCACCCTTTCACCCCAAGTCACTAAATCAAATCCAGCCCAAATTGGTAGTGACCAAGAATGATTATATTTGTGGCTTTCTGGTGGCCTCTGTGAAGTATCTTTAAGTCACATGGAAGAGCATTGGGATAATTGCTGACAGAAGAACCGCTCAGATCCACGGTCCTTGTCACTCTTCCTGACCACTGTTCCCAAGCACAGAGGAAGGCTCAGAATTGGCCTCAGGGGACAGAAGCAAGTTGGTGTTGTTCTTCATCATCACAGTTTGAACTGTTCCCTCACGTCATGAGGTCTTCCTGGCTATCTCAGTGACCTTACTTAAGGGTTAAGTGAATGAGAACTGGGAGGGACGATGAAGTCTAGAGGTGGATCATGGGCAGGCCTGGGCTAAGTGACTTAACCTTGACATTTTCTTACAGCGTTGCTTGTGTGTCTCCTCAACGCATACTCTGTTTGTCTTGGCTAGTTTTATGTCAACCATGTCTAACACAATCTAGACTCATTGGGAAGAGGGACCCTCAACTGAGATAATGTCCCTGCATCAAATTGGCCTATGGAGTGTTTTCTTTTTAAATTATTTTTAGTGTCTCTATTTCAGTCTTCAAGTCTTGAACTATTTGAATTGTTTCCTCCATCTGTTTGATTGTTTTTTTCCTTGGCTTTCCTTACTTTCTTCTTTAAGAGATTTGTTCATTTCTTCCAATATTTTGTTTGTTTTTTCTTCCATTTCTTTAAGGGCCTTCCATTGTCTTTGAGGGCCTCTGTCATTTTTATGAAGTTATTTTTTAAGTCGTTCTCTTCTGATTCATCTGCTTTGGGGTGCTCAGGTCTAGTTGGTGCAGAGTCCCTAGATTCTGGTGGTGTCATGCTTATCTTTCTATTGTTAGGTGTTTTCTTGTATTGCCATCTTCCCATCACTTCTTCCAGTGGGTGCAGATGGAGTCTCTCTCTCTCTACTCTACTCTCCTGGTGGGCGTAGGTGGGTCAAGAGTTTGGTGTCTGTAACTCTGGATGGTCCAAGCTCTCTAGGAGGTCTCGCCTCCGGCAGAGCCCCGGTGATGGGGTCAAAGATCAGGCAGGTATGGTCCCGCGTGGATAAGTGGGTCCAGTGTGCTCAGAGCAGACCCAGGAAGTTCTCCGGAGGCAGAGGGGTTATTGGACCTGCACTCTGGCCCAATGCTCAACCACAGCAGTTGGCCCTATGGAGTGTTTTCTTGCTTGATGATTGATGTGAGGGCACCCAGTTCCCTGTGGGTGGTACCACCCCTGGGTTTGAGCTCCTGAGTGCTGTAAGAAAACAGCTTGGGAAACCATCAGGAGCAATCCAGTAAGGAGCATTCCTCCATGGTCTCTGCTTCAGGTCCTGCTCCCTGGTTCCTGCTCTGAATTCTCTCTGTGATGGAGTGCCATGGGGACATGTAAGCTGAAATAAACCCTTGCTTCCCCAATTTGTTTTTGGTCATGGTGTTTTCTCACCGAAATAACTGAAACTGAAACACTGATCATTTTTGGGGAAAAAAAAAAGGCAGTGCTATCTATGGGAAGAGAAATGTGCCTGCTTACAATTGTGAAGCATTTTTAAAGGAAAAGGGAGGCTTGAGACTGTTAGTCTCAGCCCATAAGGTTTCCAAGGTTACAGAGATTTCACAGAGTACAAAGTGTTTACAAGGCGGGATTGTTTAGCTCACCTGCAAGGTTAGGGTTTTTTCTTTCTCTAGGACCAGTGAGCTCAGTGACCTTGTCCTTGAGATAATGGGAGAATGTACTCTCCAGTCAGGGAGTTATCTATATCTATTGGCAGGAGCACTTGTTCTTTCTAGTTTTCCCTTCTTGCCGTGAGTCCCGTATCTTTTAATTATTAATTTTCCCTCACACATACCTATGGTGAAAATGCAATGGACTGATATGATAGAAACCCACTAGGCGATGGCACATAGGGGTTTCCTAAGGTGTTCACATATGAACTGAGACTGATGACTCAGTAAACAACATCACCTGGAGGAAACACACCAGGCAGATGATGCCATAGAGGTGAGCGGGACAATGTGGGCAGGCGTAAAGGCTCTGAGGTTGGATCAACTAACAAGAAGAACATGGTGAGAAGGTCAAGTCCAGTGCTTGTTAGAAGCCAGACTTGGCAGTCCGTGGGAGGATCGTGCAGTCCACCCTCCAAAGGGTTAGAGCCCAGATTACACAGATGGTGGGAGGAACATGCAGTCCACCCTCCAAAGGGTTGGGAGCCACTATGACATTGTTAAGTGCAAGAAAGATGGCATATAATTCATACTTTAAAAAGCTACTCTGGAACCTTGGAACACTCCGCCCTGAATGGGATGTCTCTATCAATCCCTTCTCCTCAGAGCTCCAGGAACCCAGTGAAAAAGGAGGTGGAAAGAATTTAAGAACAAGAGGGGACGCCAGGAGAACAAGGCTCTGTGAATCAGCATGAGCAAAGCCCATATGAACTCCCAGAGGCTGAGGCAGCTTGCACAGGGCCTGCACAGGTCTGTACTGGGTCCTTTGTGTGGCTTCCGGTTTAGAGTTTTTGTGGGATTCCTGAGTGCGCTGAGAATGAGTGGATTTCTGATTCTTGTGCCTTCTTTCTCTTTTTTGGGGGGAAGGGGGATCGACTTCGAGGTGATAGTTTTTGTTTTCTCTTATATTTTACTTTGTTATATATTTTTAAACGAATTAATTAAAAAAAAGCTACCTGTTTTGTGTCTCAATCATAGACGGCTCACCTCCACATATGAGGATTTGAGCTTGGTTCTTAGAGATGAAAAATAAATAGTAAAAGAAAAAGTAACCCTTACACCTGAAGGCTGATGGATTTCTGGGATGAGATGGGGAAGCAGAACCCAGAGAGGAGATAGTGATGATGTGGACAGGGACAGCAGTGGCAGAAGAGACTGATGGAAAGAATGGACTGTGTCCTCAGCAACCAACAGAATCTTCTGGTGTCTGAAGGTAACAACGTGGGAGAAATGAATAGATGGAAGATGGCCACATTTCCCTGAAACAGCTGGGTTTTGGTGACATGTCATGAAGGATAAAACAGGTTAGCATGGCTGGACAGTGTGGTGCATGCCTATAATTCCACTAGTTGGAAGGCAAAGGGAGGCAGATCTCTGGGAGTTCAAGGGCATTCTGGTGTACATGGAGAGTTTCAGACCACCCTGGGCTATACAGTATGATGAGAGAGAGAGAAGAAAAGAGAGTCATTTGCAGTTGGGGGAACTAGCAGTGGGGTTGGAATCACATTTGAGACGCTGCTAGGTAACTAAGTCTAAAAGTCAGGTACAAAGTGAGCGAGCATGAGCTCTCTCCAGAGAGGTGACTGGAGCTGAGAGGCCTGTGGTTACCACTAAAGCCTCCTGCTTAGGGGCACAAGAAGAGGCATGGTTCCTGACAGGAATCCTGGGCCTCGGTTACCATCAGGTTGTCAAAGTTGGGGAATGGCCGGAAGGGTTAGAGAGGAAAGCCACAGACAGGCATGCACTATAGGTGAAAAGGGGGAAGGAATAGAGCAGGAGGGAACCCCAGTCTCAAGAAGCCACTCTGAAAAACAAGTGGTGGGCAGCGTGTTTGCTGGGCATGGCCGCTTCCCCCCTTCACTGTAGTTCCCACTGTGGGAGTCACCTCTACATACATGCTGCATCACCCCTGTTCATTAACCCACTAGGCTAACAGAAAGCTTACATCTGTTGTCCAAATAATTGTGGGTGCCATGGAGGTTCAGCCTTTAAGAAATTCCATTGTCATTGTAATTCTTGGGGTGTTTTTGTGCACCCAGAGCAGAAAGAGAAAGTGAGGGAAAAACA